ATATATATATATATATATATATATATAATATACATCACAGTACCATGTTAGATTACTTAAATTTTAACCGAACAAAATGTCAATGATTTAAATTTGAACGCACTTATGCGTTATATAAAAAATTATTGAAAGTGATATTTAATGGTCGTTATATAAACTATTTTAATATATTTGCAATGAATAAAAGTTTGAATGAATAATTTGTAATGTTATTCATTATGTTTGTGACTTATGAGACACGAACACATAATTCCATACATATTTATCAGAAGGCGGCTTAATAATTTTCATAGATTTCTTTTTATTATATAGTAAAATAATAATTAAATATTATATAATGAACAAGAATAAGTAAAACTATTACTTTCTCTTATATCAAAAGATAAATTAATATGATAAAATTAAATTTTTATTAGTATAAACTTTTTAGTTAGATAATTTATTAATTATTTTACAAGTTAGCTCTAACAATATGTTCTGGCTAGAAAAAAAAAAACATTGGTTAAAAGATGTGGAAAAAGTTTATAACCTTATTGTTTTTTAGACTTGACGTTAATTAGAAAGATATAGAAAATAGATAATAACCATATTACTTTTTAGACTTAAATGAAAAAGACTGTGAAAATAACTCATTTAATATCTATGTCCCGTACATCACACGGGTCCGTATTTGTTAAATTTATCAAGTTGGAACTAAATAAGTCGGAACAACTCTATGCGAAACACGATATATTTTGGGTTTTTTATCCTAACCAAATTTTATTTATTATTTATTATAGCATTTAAAGGGAAACAAAAGGCTAAAAAAAAAACTAGAGAAGGGAAGCAAAATCTGGAAGAGATTCACATCTCTCCTGGCATTGGGTCTCCTGCATCAAGAAGAACCCTTGCTCTCCCTTTCTCTATGTATACACTCTGTTCCCCTCTATAGTGCGTTTTTTTTCTTTCTTGTGTTGGTTTAATAGGTAAGAACGTGTGCACAGTGTCGTTCTGCCCGATCGTTGTTGATATAATTGTGTTGCTGAATTGATTATCGATGGCGATGCTTTTTAGTTTTATTCTTCTCTTTTCAGTTTTCGATTTGATTCTGAGTTGGGCTTTAGGGTTTTGGTCAGTTTAAGCTTATGTTGCCCGAAATTCATGCTCCATTTTAGGGTTTTGTTTTGGAATTTATACGTTTTAGGATTCTTATGTAGTAGATTATTTGATGATTCCTCGTTATGATATAGTAGAATGATTGAGTTTTGAATTGTCGATTTCTTTGCCATTATCTGGTCGTATAAGTTGTTAGTTAGTACGAATCTGGGTTTAACGTTCTCGTATGTTGGAAGATTTGGTACATACCAATAATCGAGGATCCGTTGTTGGTTTTCTGTTGAATTTAATTGTTTGGTTGGTTATTATTAAGTTGGGAAATATTTGGATATATTTCATCTGTTTCTGGTGAGTATTTCTTGTTACTTAGTTTCTATTTTCTGTTCATATGGATTCTAAAAGTGGAAAAAAATGGTACACATGATATTGAAGTCATTGGTTATGAAAGTTGTTTGTTATTTTAGTTCTTGTATTCCTTGTTTACTGTGAGCCTACAACTAAACGAGCTTGAACAAAATTATTACTTGATCTTGTGCACCTCATATGACAATTCATTTTGATCATACATGGTGATTAGCCATATTCAATGTCATCTCATATTTTTAGTTGCTTTTATGTTTGTTTGTGGGTTAAAGGTTTTAACTGGACTAGTCGAGGCTCTATTAATTCTTCCAGGCTCGTGACATAACAATGAATCCAAGGAACACCATTGATTTAGAACAAGGATGGGATTTTATGCAAAAGGGGATTACGAAACTGAAAAATATTCTGGAAGGTCTGCCTGAACCACAGTTCAATTCAGAGGACTACATGATGCTCTACACGTAATATTTTATTAATCTACATAATCGATGTGTTATTTTGATATCTGCTTTGCTTTCTCCAGTTATTTAGAAGTTGCCTTGATTTATATTTTCAGGACAATATACAACATGTGTACCCAAAAGCCCCCACATGATTATTCTCAGCAATTGTATGATAAGTATCGGGAGTCTTTTGAAGAATACATTACATCAACAGTAAGCGTATTATGCAAATTATTTGTTCATTGGTGGTATGTTGGAAAAAAAATATTGCACTCATGTAAATACTTTTCTGGGCGCTTAATCCAAACTAAATTAGCAGTTTTTGCCCAATTCTAGCCAAAATTTAAGATTCTAGTATTCACTTACATAAATTTTTAGAGAGCCAAAGCTTCGCATCCTGTTATCATGGCTTGTTTGTCTAATTAAATTTTTTTAGGTTCCTAATGTTGTGTCGTTTTGACTTTATTGTTCATGAAGGTTCTACCTTCTTTACGGGAGAAGCATGGTGAATATATGTTGAGGGAGCTTGTGAAAAGATGGCAGAATCATAAAGTCATGGTGCGGTGGCTTTCAAGATTCTTTCACTATCTTGATCGGTACTTCATTGCTAGGAGGTCACTTCCAGCTCTTTATGAAGTTGGTCTGACTTGCTTCCGAGAGCTGGTAATCTTTAACTACATCGAGCTGGATATCTTGTTGTCTCTATTCTCATGTGCCTTCTGTATACTTTATAATTGCAACTAACTGAAATTTAATCAGATTTTCCCAGCTCACAACTTTTTATCTCTCCCCGTTATTGGTTATTTCTTCCATTTTCCTATTTAACACTTTTTAGGTTTAACTTGAACCTGGCTTTTCATTTCAGGTATATCAAGAGCTAAACAGCAAAGCTAGGGATGCTGTTATATCGTTGGTATGTTGGGATCATTGTTCTCTAATACCTTTATGTTGTACACCTCGTTTTGATGTTCTAATTTGTTTGTTCTGATTAGATTGACCAAGAGAGGGAAGGAGAGCTGATAGATCGAGCTCTTTTGAAGAATGTGTTGGATATTTTTGTTGAAATTGGTATGGGGCAGATGGTTTATTATGAGAATGACTTTGAAGAAGCAATGTTGAATGGTACGGCAGCTTACTATTCACGGAAGGCTTCTAAGTGGATCCTAGATGATTCATGTCCTGACTATATGTCGAAAGTATGTTTCTCTCGTGCAGCTTGAACATGTTTTGGAACATAACACGATGAATAAGAAAACTTGCTAAAGTCCCTCTACCATGGAATTTGTTTTAATTGTGGTTTCTCATTATCTATTTGAACCATCCAGGCTGAGGAGTGTTTGAAACGTGAAAAGGACAGGGTTTCTCATTATCTTCACTCTAGTAGTGAGACAAAGTTGCTTGAGGTCAGTTCTTACTCTGAGATGATCGGATCTGGATAATCCCTCGAGTAAATGGCTGTAGGTTGAATATGTTTATTTCACTCTAGTAGTCTTGATCCTTTGTTTTTATTTTGATAGAAAGTACAGCATGAATTGTTGACGGTGCATGCCACCCAACTGTTAGAGAAGGAGCACTCTGGTTGTCATGCATTACTTAAAGATGACAAGGTATATAGAACATTCAAATCAATGATGTATATGAATTTGTATATTTTTCAATCTAATTTTTTTATTCGATAGGTGGAGGATTTGTCGAGGATGTATAGGCTCTTTTCTAAAGTGCCCAGAGGTTTAGAGCCAGTTGCCAATATATTTAAGCAGGTCCGTGATGATTTTATTTTTTCTTGACCCGAGTTCCTGATCTAGAATTATATGCTATTCCGAATTTTTAAGTTGAATATGGATATTTAAATGCTAATGTATAATGGTTTCCCACACAGCATGTTACTGGTGAAGGTACTGCCTTGGTTAAGCAAGCGGAAGATGCTGCGAGTAACAAGAAGGTTTGTTAACAGAAATAATATTTATTGCTTAGTTGATCTTTTATTCTCTTTGCATGTACTTCAGTTTACAAACTAGTGCAAGTATTGCTTTGTAGAGGTGTTGTGATTGTTCTCATCTTTTATTTGGTTATGGATTGCAATGTTGAATATAGTGGAAGATTATGAATAGAATTAGGTTTCCGACAATTTAAGTTGTGCCTTGAAAAGTTGAAGGAAGTGGTCACATCTCAACTGTGTTGTTTGGAATATTCATTCTTTTCACTTATCCAGAAATTTTATGTGATTATGTGAGGAACTTTCTTCTCAGACACATTAGATCCATTGAGGAGCTGTAGAATGATGTATAGCATTTGTCATAGTATCTTAATTTGGGAGATTCAGAATTTTACAATTGTGAAGATAAGAATTTCTCAGTTCTTACTCGATTCCACAAAAAAAAAAAAAAAA